AATTGAAGATATTCAACATGAAATGAACAAAACTAAGAGAGGTCTACCCAAGGTACATATACACCAAGTATCAAAGCATTCAGGCTTGTAGTTTCAAGAAGAAGTCGAAAAAGTAAAACATTGACACGGACGACGGAGACGGAGACGAACGACGACGGACATATGATAAGCTCCGCTCGACAAAGTCGACAGCGGAGCTAAAAATTGTACAAACTTGGCACACAGGGACAAAAGGTCAAGGTGCCATGCATATATGTGTTTTTTGTACTACATATTACAACTACATAAGATAAGTTACAAGTGCCATCAACAATTATGCACATGTTGTAGTGTGATTCACAAGACCTTGCAACATGTTTAGGTCAAAGGTCACAGTATGGGTTTAATGGTATGTTTATTTTATAGCTGGGGGGATGGCAGACATATTTCCCATGCGACATCTATAGTGAGGAACTATTCGCATGTAACCCACTGAACACAGTATGTGTTTTTTTCATACTATACAACTACATAGAGAAAATAGTGCCAGCGCCATCAAAATTGGCAATTATATACTCCCATGTAAATCACAAAGACTTTGCTACAGGGTTACAATTTCAGTTAACGAATGTTTGTTAAATTACTACAGGAGGAAATTGCCGGGCCTTCTAACTAGGCATACACAATTCTAACAAAACCAGAGTACATGTTTGGTCAAAGGTCAAAGTCATGGTTTATGAACCACAAGAGGGAATGACTAGAAACTTCAAACTTAGCAAACAAGTTTCCTGTATGGCTCACAATTTTGAGTCATATGTCAAGGTTAATATATGTTTGTGTGTTTTCCCAATATAACTACAGCAAAATAGCCATTGCCTTCAAAATTGTCAAACATAAATAACTGTACTGCCTTTGATATAAGTATTGAAGAAATCTAGTGCAGGTTAACATTTCGGTTCAATTTTTCCGGATATTCATTGCAATCATTTGTCAGCCAATGATTTTGTCATACATTAGCCTACTCTATCATCACCAATCTTTGTTTTAGCCCCCAAATATTGCAATTTCTTTGTTTCATTGCATTGATAAGACGATAGGTCACAAATGATGGAAAATGTACATTTCTGAGTGTGTTCAGTACTTTGGAAATGGTAGGGTACCTAAGTAAATTAGGTATGACATCATATCCTGTTTACAGATTCTATGACAAAGATGTTTATCAGTGATTTTACATTGGAATTATAGCATTTACGGACAAAACAGACCACAAATCACCCATACACTTGCAAATACTGTGATCTGCAATTCCTTAAAATTACTCCTCAGGAAAAAAATGTGTGAAGTCACACACACAAAAAAAAAGTGGAGAAATCCCCAGAAATTGACGTGAATTTCACAATCATACATCCTGGATGTGACACTAAGAATACTGAATAATGTCCTTACCTGTGACTATATCACTGACCGTTTCCGTCACTGAATCTGATTGGACAGACTCACATTGTGTTCCGTTATCAATGTCATTGCATTTGTCAAAAATAACAAACTCATTCTCACCTGAAGAGAAATAGACACAAGTCGATTATACTAATTTGCATGAGTAGATCACAAATGAGCATACATAGAACACTGATTAACTAACTTCATAGAAATTGTACATGTCATTGGCAAAATCTCCATAATATAAATAAACTTCATGTTAAACATTGATGATGAAAGGTTAAAAGCATCCATCATTATTAGTATACCAAAACAACAAAATACTGGTCATGCATGTACTGGCTCCAGACTTAGTACGTTGCCTTAGTGACATTTACCCGCAATGACTAATTCTCCCTTCAGTATCACTTCACACTATTCCACAAGGTTCATTTCTACATCACCACTTAGTAATAGAATCATTCTTATATTGTACAACTAATGTTACATCATCCATACTGAGAGATAGTACAAGATACTTTATTTAGCATTTTTTATAGTATAAAAAAAGAAACAATTTGATAAGTGTCTGCTCTGTTATATAGATGCACTCATAACTTTTTTACAAATTCAAATGACACAAATATTTAGTGGTGTTATAATTTTCTCTCAATGAACACGTAGCAATATAAACCGTCAATTTTATTTGAAGTCTTTCAAGAAGACAGCTCAGTTCAATGAACTATAGTTAGCAGTATAGTTGTATGGTAATGCTGAAAAGCTCACTGGTATTTGAAATATTTGGTTGAAAAATCTTGTTATGAACCAGAATTCTGCAAACAAAATGAAAAAAAACAAACATGTTAGTCAAATTACAAAATATATAAAAGAATATAAAACACGTCTAATGTAATTTTGGAAGCAACAATACAATAATTTGATAAGGTCAGCTTAGCAAAAAAAAACAGTGTAGAATGGTAAAAACAAATGTATGCATGCATTTGAGAAATAGATGGCGCTGTTGTCAAAATTTAGAAAATGGAGTCCAATGAGGCTCATTCACTACAGTAATCAGCAATGCCCTTGATAGCATGAAATAAAACAAATAGCTGTGAAAAACAAATAAATTATTTTCAAAATGCTGAGGTGTAACATGATCACAAAAAATATTTTTTGTTTCAACTAAAACAAACCTCCAATGAAAGAGATTGATTGCAAAATAAATACAAATATTTTTTCCCTCAAATTTGAATAATCAAGAAATCAAAAACAAAATGCAACACAGTATGACTTGCTTGATTTGGCATTACATAGTTAATTATTCCGCATAAAAGTCATGCATGTTTCCGTTTCAGGTGAATTGTATATAGAGGGTGGGGGGGGGCAAGGGTTATTTTTGTTCAACGTAATTGCAATATTTTTTGGTTCGTACAACGTAAATTGATAAAATAAATTCCGTAATTCTGTAATCACAGGCTAGACGTACAACGTAATCAATCAAATATTTTTTTCGTACACTGTAAAAATGTGTAATTTTTCTCGGTACGTACAAGAATTTACATCCAAATAAAAAAATCGTAAAGAATAATCGAGGGAAATTACATTTCAGAAACTGTAAAACGACTAGATGACACAATTCACTGCAAAATTGAATTTCAAGACGTAAAAGGCCCTCTAATCGAATGAAGAGCATTACGAGGGTAATATGCGCATGCGTCTCTACACGCGGCGCAGTAATGGTGGAGAATTTGAGTCGAGGAGCTCTTCGAACCATTCAATGTTCCATTTTTTATCACTGTCAACTGTAAAAACGTCTTTTTTTTCTTCGTAAATTGTGAAAAGCCCTTTTTATTTCCCGTAAAACTGTACCAACTACCCCCCTTGCCCACCCTCTATATACGCATCATAGCATTGCTCTCATTGCTGACAAATGCTCATGTGCAATTTAGTTAACATATTGTTTTTGATAGTTCACAAAATAAACTCATTCTATCAACATCATAATTGGTGGTAAATAAAAAATTATATTTTGTGATATCAAAATCCACAATAATTATTTGATCATTCTCATTTTCTTTTTGCAAAAGTGATGTACACAAAAGTCACATGTCACATTGACACTAACAACCAAATTACAACACTGTCATTCATGAATGACGTACATTTCATGGTAATTGACAAGACCATGTATAAATTAAAAATACAATCATGTAAATGGAACTTGGAAGCAATACAATACACTATGGCCACAAAATTATGCTTTCGATAGAAATTATTTTGTACCGGTTATGAGTTAAAATACCAAACCAACATGAATCACAAAATTCAACAGAAATGAAGTGATAAATATTTAATTAAACTAACCGTAAATCTTTGAAATCTTTGAGTGTTCATCAACGTAAACAAGTAGCGAGAAGTATTACGGCACATGTAATCATGTGCTAATGTATCACCAGCAGCATGCACCATACAGCATTCCCGCAGAGCACAGATTCACAGAAAGATGGTGGTCCAGGTATAAAGTAAAAGATAACATAACCATACAAGAACTATGTATTTATTGGATTTAAATATGCCTATTCTTATATTGAACAGAAAAAATAATATAATTTGGTGGTGTATAATTTAATAACATACTTATTTTAAACAATTGTACTTTCACTATATACTCTTGCATTTGTATTAATATATATGCAATGATTTGATAATTAGTAGGGCAGAGGAAACAAACACATAATATAGAGAAAATCATCAAATGAAACAAGTCATCAAATTGTATCAAATTAAATGTTGCATTCTTATCTGTGGGTTGAAAAGTAAAAGATGATACCTTGGCATTGAGCAATTAAAAGTAATTTTGGCAATTCCATCTTTGAGGTTAGGTAAAGGTTACAGTGGTCAAATTTGCCTAGGTATGCCTAAGTAATAGAAGCAAACACATCACTTTGTATTTGCCTATTTACTTTGGATATTCATAAAGGCTGACAATTTGACAATAATATAGGTTCTAAATTTGTTTATTTTTTTAATTTTAATTTCTCACTATGTAAAAATCACCAAGCACTTTTTGGCTTCCATTTTGAAACAAGACTTATTTTTTCCACAACTAAATGTGAAGACTTGTTTAAACAAAGAGTGGAAAATAGAGCACCCCCCCAAAAAAAACACATCTTTGTTAATATCTGATGATGCTAGAAACATCATGTGAAATATAAAACCTAGAGGTTGATGCGATGATAATGTTACACTTGTAGTACGTCTGACAGCACAATTTTCATTAAAACCTTAAATAGTGATGTTACAAAGAAAAACTATGATGTCAAAGTATGGCTGCTTTTATACATTCAAAATGGCTTCTATTTTTACAGCTAGTCTAATTCAAATCAATCTATTTAGACGTTAAAATTATATCAACAACTGAACAAGACTTATGTTCAATTTGTACATCCACAGAATAGAAAGATGACAAATCAACAACAAATGTCAAGTATTCTACAATTAAACTAAAAATGACCGACTTTTTATATTACAATGCTAAAACAAATATTCAAAAATAGAATGATTGTGGGAGGGGTGGCAATAAGCTGAGAACTATACTGGTAAACTTAAAAGAAAACATAAGTGGCTCATAAAGGTAGTAAAATGATGAGTAAGAATGATTGTATAATACGCACTGGGTTTTATCTCTAGAGAGTGTG